TGCTGCTGATCTCCACCAATCTTGAGCCCTTCTTAAGACAGTAGTGCTTTGCTACTCATCGTTGGATCGTTGAGCAATCTGTGTCAGGCACCCTTTAATCTGAAAACTAGAATCCTTGAGTTGTTGTCGTTACTAACTGACGCTTCTTTGTGTAGATCTTTCCTAGACCTGCCTACCTGAAATCCTGCAAGTGAGTGTGTGGAAGCATGAGAGCCTGCTGAGGAGAGTGGAGTGTGATTTGGAGAGGAGTGGAGCATGTTTGATCCCTTCCTTTCCCCCACGGTCCCTGGAGCCCCTCTAGAACATTGTGTATATATATAATCACTTGGTGTTGTCACTGTAAATACATTCACTGTCTTTTCTGCAAGGATCCCTCGTCTGCGCCTGAGTCTGTTTAGGAACTCTGACAACACTGGAGTTGGACACATGTAATCTTTAAAAGCTTCTCATAGTGTTTAGGTCTGGAGGTGCAGAGTGCACATGACCATTACTCCTAAATGTTTTCCTCCTAGTGAGGAAACAAAATATTCACATTTTGCACAGTGAAAGCTGACAGTCAGTTAGAAAACTGGTATTTTAAGCATACTGACCGACTCATGACGTCAGCACGTCTTTTCTTTTGGCTGCTCCATTTAGGGAATCACCACAGCAGATCCTCTGCCACCATCTCATCCAGTCCCTAGCATCCTCCTCTGTCACATCCTTAACGACAAATAAGAATCTTGTATGTGGTCTTACTCTTTTCCTCATTCTAGGTTTGACAGATTTTCAATGATTGTATGATCATTGATCAGAAATTACAAAGTAAGACCTGAGGTGACCAACATTTTTAAATGTATTCTATATGTATTCTGTTTAATACAAACTGCGACTCCTATATTCACTGTTTTCCGAGGTTTCAGCGTTCAACGTTCAAAGACATGAAAATGTTACACAAGCTCCTCAATTAATCTCAGTTTTATCTATATAGCGCCAAATCACAACAACTGTTCACTCAAGGTGCTTTATACTATAAAGACCCTACAGTGATGCAAACATATGACTGATTTCCAGGCATTGCTGTAGTTTCATACAGAAGTCACATTAATTAGCAGGTGCCACTGTGCCACCCTCCTGGAAGGAGCTGAGGAGAGCCCCAGACTCGGGGTCACCCAGCAGCCACGGTGCAGAAGCTACAGGGACTATATTTCAATTCACTCTCCTCTCATTACTATATGCGAATCTGCCTGGGCTGGGAGCCACCACTGCTATTCTGCTCTGAGGCCTTCCCCAAACATTTGTCTTAATTCATGCTTATGCCATCTGCCTTTACGTATGTGAAATGCTTTCAAATCTAAATGAGAATTTGGGCCAGCTAAAGAATTACAATGCAGAAGTTGTCATTACAGGATTGGTGTGCTTGCAATGTTTTACATGTGTTGCACAGTATGGAATCTTGTTGTTTTTAAGGTTGCTGCAGTTACAGTGGTTATTCAACTGCAAAAGGGATCACTTTCTGTTGTTGGTTTTGCTGCCAGAGGTTTCTGTAGTTTCCATTGATTTTGTTAGTTGCAGGTATAGTGTCAATGGTTGCTTGCATCACTCCAGGTGTTTTGTTAGTTTCACAGGTTTGTTACCCTGCAGATTTTTGGGAGATTGTGGGAGTTGCCTTGTGTAGTTGTAGGCAATGCTGTAGACACAGTTTAGCAGTTTTGGCAATTTCAGTGACAATTTTAGACGTTGTTCACATTGGTGTTGTTAGTTACACTGGTTTCAGATATTGCTCTAGTTTAATTGCTAAGTCATTTTTTTATAAGGGTTGCCGTAAATGCTGCAGTGAGAGAACTGCTGAATTCATTTAAGTCGCCTGTTTAAAGGCACGATTAATCAGAAATTGCCACCTAAAAACTGAGCCGACCAAAATGTTTAAATGTAAGACTCACAACTCTTACCTCATTTCACTGAAACACAGCACCTCCTCTTGGTGATGTCACCTCATTCCCTCACCGACAGCTATCAGCCTACAACACATATGTTGGGTTTAGATTAGTTTCACTTCTACAAAGAGGAACCTACACTGTCATTATTACTGAGAGGAGAAATGGCGCAGAAAGGAGTTCAGCTCGACCGAGAAACCTTCTCTTGTTCCATCTGAGCTACTTTGAGGATGTGACAGCAGCTGTGTCAGAGACCAGAGATAAACTACAGGACATTCTGAGAGAGGAATGGACAAACATCTCATTGACAGTCACTGAAGAGGATGTTTTACTGTCACCAGCAGAGCCAAAGACCAGAGCTGGATTCTTAAAATATTCACATGAAATCACACTGGATCCAAACACAGCAAACACACATCTGTTATTATCTGAGGGGAACAGAAAAGTAACAAGAATGAAACAACAACAGTCTTATTCTGATCATCCAGACAGATTCACTGCATGGCTTCAGATCCTGAGTAGAGAGAGTCTGACTGGACGTTGTTACTGGGAGGTGGAGTGGAGAGGGAGAGGAGTTGGTGTAGCAGTCGCATACAAGAATATCAGCAGAGCAGGGAGCTCTGATGAATGCAAATTTGGATTCAACGACAAATCTTGGTCTTTACGTTACGATTCAAATGGTTTTCAGTTTTGGCACAATGAAGTCCGAACCAACCTCTCAGGTCCTCGGTCCTCCAGAGTAGGAGTGTACCTGGATCACAGAGCAGGTATTCTGTCTTTCTACAGCGTCTCTGAAACCATGACTCTCCTCCACAGAGTCCAGACCACATTCACTCAGCCGCTCTATGCTGGACTTCGGTTCTTTATTATGACAGTGACACCGCAGAGTTCATTAAACTGAAATAGACAGAAATGATTGAAGGACACTTGGTTAAAACAGGTTTTTCGTTTCCACTTTCTTTGGTCTCTTTCATTGTTGCTCAGACGTTATTGATGTGCTGTTGCTTAGCCTGTCAGTAACACTTTATAGGTGCGACTTTGACATTGCATTATTTGTTGTCTAGTTAATGATTGGCTTTGTTTTAATGAAGGAAAAGTGTTTCACTCTGCAGAAACAATACAGCCTCATATATCTTTGTAAATGTTGTATGTTGTTCTAATTAAGGTATTTAATGTAAAACATCCCATTTCTAGTTTGTTATATCTTCTACACAAGAGTTATTCTTTATGGGAAACTGTTTTTCATTTATGTGCACTGTCATGTTTCAATTTAGAGAAGTGATCAGTTTGGTTGGGTGTTTTTGTGTTATTCTCTGGTTGGTTCCTTTTTCTTTTGTTTAAGAAAACTAGCCATTGAAATATGCGCAACCCTGTGAAAAGAAGAAGTAATATGCACTCAAACAACTTTGTATGGAATAAAATGACACCTTATATAAACTTCCTCAGTTAATCACTGTATTGTGTTCCAGTAAAATTTGACTGAGTTAAAAGTTTCATCTCTGAAAAATATTGTTAACTTGATCAGACTGATATAACAGTTCAATAGTTCAGGCCCTGAAGTGCCGGTGATGATCGTCCGGAGTGAGGCCCATTTAGTCCAGCACAACTCTGCAGATGTCTGCGAGTCTGCCCGTGAGGTTGGCGGCAGACTCAGGGCCGCCATCTCAGCCCCCCCGACAGCAGTGGAAGCTGCCGTGGTGCCCAATCTTGCACACTTCTGCCCCAGGACTAAAAATATGTCATATCCTGGATTAATCACATCACATCCTGCATTGGACAATTCCTGACTGAGTCTATCAAAGTCATAGTGGTAAACACGAATAACTTGGATGTGAAATAGATTCACAAAGACATTTGGAAGGAGGTAACCCAGACAGACATGAAACCATACATGAGTCATTTGATTTGTACAGATCTAGAAATGAATCTACCAGAAGTTCATGCAGAGTCTGGCTGGACAATCTTTTGGGCCAATCACTCAATGAATTTCCCATGTTGCCATGCATGATTCACTTTAACAACTGTGATTCAAGACCAGGCCGTCATCAACAAGACAAGCTGGCAGTCAGTGGATGGCGTGCCTGCCCCTCATTTTTAACCCAATCCAAACATCAGTTGATGAGCATCTAGTCACTTTTAGGGGATGCTGCCCTTTTACACAGTATATGCCAAGAGTGCCATTTAAATGTAGCATAACGATCTGGGCAACATATCATGGCAGGACAAGTTATGCCTGAAACATTCAAGTATGTACTGGGAAACATGAAGACGGTGTTCCTCAAAAAGAACCAAGGGCAGCACATGGTTTTGGAGATAACTGCAACTATCATTGGCCATTCTGGATTACAATAGGAACAAAGGTGGATTTGACAACCATGCTAAGGTATGCTTATTTTTGTACTCCTTGTCTATCATCAGATTGTTTGAAATGGACTATAAAGTGCTGCGCCAGCTGGCCCGGCCTCCACAGTCACCTGACCTAAACCCAATCCAGATGGTTTGGGATGAGATGGAGCGCAGAGTGAAAGCAAAGGGCCAACAAGTGCTCAGCATCTCTGGGAACACCTTCAAGACTGTTGGAAGAACATTTCAGGTGATTACACATTGAAGCTCATCGAGAGAATGCCAAGAGTGTACAAAGCAGTAATCAAAGCAAAGGGTGGCTATTTTGAAGAATCTAAAATAGGTTTTGAGTAATTTCAGATTTTATTGCTTACTGCATAATTCAATACGTGTTAATTCATAGTTTTGATCATGAAAACAAGAAAAAACATTAAATGAGAAGGTGTGTCCAAACTTTTGACTGGTAATGTACGCTCACATCAACGAGACATATGGATTATGAACAACAAATAACAGTTCAATACATGGGTAGCACTTTATAATAATGTCACACTAGTAAGTATTAGTGAGGTATTGGCAGGTGCTTCATTCTTACTATGCCATTTATAAATACAGTTATGTTATGTTTATCCATCTGTTACTGGTACACCATGCACAGCTATCACTGCTATTACATCACTGCTAGTAAAACTGATAATCATAATCATATCCTTTCATTCATTTCCGCTTATCTTTTTTCAAGGTCGAGGGGGCACTGGAGCCTGTTCCAGCTGTCTTAAGACAAGAGGCAGGGTACACCTTGGACATGTCGCCAATCTGTCCCAGGGATAACCCACATACACAGACAACCATTCACACTCACATTCACACCTATCCCCACTAATTGCATGTCTTTGGACTGTGGGAGGAAGCCGTAGTACCCGGGGAGAACCACACAAACACGAGGAGAAGAGAACTCTAAACAGAAAGACCCCGGCCTGATAATGAAATTGATTTTGCTGCAGTTGCTATATGTAGTTTCAGATGCTAGTTTAATTGCAGAAGTTACCATGTTTTGTAGAAGATGCTGCTGTAGTTTGCAGGTTTTGTGGTTAAAACTGTTACTATACTTTGCTGATGATGTTGCTTCTAGTTTCAGTCATTGAATTAGTTGCAGACGTTGCCACTGCTTCAATGTGTTTGTTGGGTTGCAGTAGCTATGCTTACTTACAGTTTTTTTGTGCTTGTTTTACATTTGTTATCCAAGTTGGAATCTTTAGTCACATGTTTTTAAGGTTGCTGCAACTCAAATAAAGTTGCAAAAGTTGCCAAAGTGATCCTTGTTGTTGTGCTATTGTTGCTATTGTTGCTATTGGCATTGTTAGTTGCAGGTGTACTGTCAGTGGTCACTTTCTTCATTGTAGGTGTTGCATTAGTGTCACAGGTTAGTTTAGCTATAGTGTCTGATTAGTTGTGGGAGTTGCCTTGTGTAGCTGTAGGCATTGTTGTAAACATGAGGGTTTTTCTTGTAATTTTTGCAATTTCAGTAACAAACTTAGTTGCAGATTGCAGTTGCAGTTTTTCTGATAAGTGTTTGTTACAGTGGTTGTAGATATTTCTGTAGTTTCATTCAGAAGTCATTTATTTATTTAAAGATGTTACTGTAAATGTTGCAGTGATGGGTTTGTTTACCTCATTTAAGTGTCGCTCCTATCAGAGAGCCCATTCTGATTCCATTTAATAACAATTTTACGGGTTTTCCTGAATTTACCACCTAAAAACTGAGCTCACCAACATTTTTTAATATACTGTTTATAAAAAAGGTATTTACTTCAAACTCAAACCTCATCCTGGAATACACCAGATACTGATAACTCCTCCCCTTCTACCTGACAGCACCTCCTCTTTGTCTGTTTCCTCATTCCCTCCCATTCAGTCTATATTTGAAAATGGGCATAACCAACATCTGTTGACGTGTAAGAGCAGACAGCCTCCATTTCCCACGTAAACACCTATTGATTAGGTCACAGCTCAGAATAGTTTCACTTCTGCAAAAGACAAACCAGCAAGTCATTGTTACTAAGAAAAGAGAATGGATGAAGAAACATTTCTTGCTCCATCTGTTTGGATCTACTGAAGGATCCGGTGACTATTCCCTGTGGACACAGCTACTGCATGAACTGTATTAAAACCCACTTTGATGAAGAGGACAGGAAGGGAATCCACAGCTGCCCTCAGTGCAGGAAGACTTTCACACCGAGGCCTGTCCTGGAGAAAAACACCATGTTAGCAGCTTTAGTGGAGCAGCTGAAGAAGACTGGACTCCAAGCTGCTCCAGCTGATCACTGCTATGCTGGACCTGAAGATGTGGCCTGTGATGTCTGCACTGGGAGGAAGCTGAAAGCCATCAAGTCCTGTTTATCTTGTCCAGCCTCTTACTGTGAGAAACATCTCCAACCTCACTATGATGCAGCTCCGTTAAAGAAACACAAGCTGGTGGCCCCCTCCAAGAAGCTCCAGGAGAACATTTGCATGGTTTCAGATATACAAGAGAAAGTGACAGACATCTCATCAAGAGTTGCTGAAGAGGATGTTTTACTGTCACCAGCAGAGCCAAAGACCAGAGCTGGATTCTTAAAATATTCACATGAAATCACACTGGATCCAAACACAGCAAACACACATCTGTTATTATCTGAGGGGAACAGAAAAGCAACAACACTGAAAAAACATCTCTGAAACCATGACTCTCCTCCACAGAGTCCAGACCACATTCACTCAGCCGCTCTATGCTGGACTTCGGTTCTTTTATTATGACAATGACACTGCAGAGTTCATTGAACTGAAACAGACAGAAATGATTGAAGGACACTTGGTTAAAAACTTTTTTTTTTCTAGTTTCCACTTTTTGTCTACATTGTTGCTGCTTAGAGGTAATTGATGTGCTGTTTCTTAACCTGCCAGATCTGCAAATAAAGTCATTTTACATTTGAATCTTTTGGACAGATGTTAACAGGGTTTTGTTGATGCTGGTGTGGTACATGTAACTCATCACTCGTGTTTTTATATTGTGTGTTGTCAATATTAAAAAGGTTAAATACAGTGTCTGCTTCAAATCAATCCTCTTTCTGGAATACATCAGAGACTGGTAACCCCTCCCCTTTTTCTGCCTGTTACTGGTCTGTCTGTAATACCTCCATATGTCAACCTGTTTCCCCCCCTGGTTGTTTTCCTGTGAGTTATCAACACGTTCTCACTCCCAACTCGTCAAACGTGTGACGCATGGTCAGGCTCCCTCTGCTTCACTTATCGACGCGCAGGGTACCCCCTGGCGTCGGGAATTGACGTGCAGGGTCCTCTCATTGAATACTATAGAGCTCCCTAAACGTTGCTTATTGACGACAAGAGATTGCCGCGGAAGAGCCTGTTGTTCGTATATTTATACATTTCCAAAATCACATTGTAGTGACCTATACAAAACACAATAAATTATATAATGTAAACAACTACCTGAGATACAGCAGATACATTAATTATAGGCTGTTACTTTTGTATCGTTTATTGCATATGGAGAAGTGATGTATGCTGGGTAATGGCACAGCTAGCTACTGGGTGACTTTATTCACCCGCTTCGGCTGTTATCAGTCCATACAATGGGCGTTATTAGCACAAATCAGTCCCATAGATATGGGCCATCAAAAATAAAGTTTGTATTCCCATCTAATAATATTATTTTATTATTACATACCTGTAGCACAATCCGTTCAGTTAGCTTCACACAAAAATAGCTGGTAGAAATGTCCTCCAAAGATTATCTTTGTTCACCTCTGAGGGGGTATTTTGATGCTGATCCTCTTCATCTGTTCACTGCCTGCTGGAAACCTGCTTGCTGCTGCTGCTCTTCTCTCGGCTTCCCAGAGTAAATCTGAAAAGTCACCTGCCTGCCCTCCTGCCTGCCACAACACACCTCTGCTCTAAAAAAGAAAAGGTCAGACATGTTGTTCTTCTCTTTACTCCACCACACACCCAGAGAACCTCCCGTCTCTGTAGCTTTGCTTCAGCCTGTAATACAAGGAGGCAAAATCTCCTTTCACTCACCTCACATCGTACTCACCTTTAACCTCATCTAGAAATAACTCACCTTCTCCCTCTGTTACAGTGAGTCCTGCTCTGTGGAATTTCCTCCACGTCTCACCTCAGCCTTTCTGATCCGTGCGATAAATAAAGTTTTCCTTCAAATCAAACAAACATGTACTGAGTCAGCTTTTGGCTCCAACCTCTTTACACCGGCTGCTTGGCCTTGACAGCACAAGGTCCTGGACCACGTTTACATGTCTTCATAAGTTAACAGATGTGAAGTATTTTCACATACGGTCCTTAAAGCTTTTGTTAAAATGCTCCACAACACTTGGTTCAATCTGGCTTTATGCAGAGAAATGTGTGATGTTAAACTGAACCATCAGCTGATGCAAATGTTTATTATTAAACTCCTCGCCTTCATCTGTTGGAAGTTTAACAGGTACACGTCCTTCACTCAGAACATCCTCAAAAGCAGATGCAACAGATGCTGCTGCCTTGGTTTGAAGACACCTGCATGCATACTTAGAAAATCCATCTGTACATGTCAGTAAGTGTCTCACATTATCGTTACTAATGTGTCCGTCATCACTATAACTGCATGTGTACAATGTGGAAATTGATGTTATGTAACGATGATACAAAAACAATATCAGAACATAATTTGATTCAGCAAATCCTATTTATTAACAACTATTAGTATGAATAAAACATTCTGTCATCTTTTAATAGCAAAACACATTAAAGCAGACGTGTGTCCAAACCTCCTCCACTAACACATCCGTTTCTATGGTGCTGTCATCAGCTCGAGGCACAGCTGCACCTTTACTAACTCCATCAGGCACATTTAAGTCACTACAATCTTTTCATAATCCCCCATCGTTCAAGAGTCAGGTATCTCTGAAGATTTCCAGAGTACTTTTTCACACACATCCAAGTCATGTAGTTGCAGTACCTCGACCGCAGCATTGTCCAACTCATTCTGAGTCGCTTGTCTGATGGATCCTGTGTTCTGCTGTTTTAACCAGTCCAGCTGGTGCTGGAGGACCGAACACTGGTGATGGACTGCACTGTGCTGAGACAGATTTTGTGTTATAGGCTTCATGTTATGGACGCACAGTGTGAGCACTCAGGTCGCATTAGAGCATCGGGCCGTATAGTGTGAGACCCCCATCGTGACCTACAAACTTCTAACCCCTGTGATTCACTCATACAGAGTCAAACATGCTGAATATGAAGAGTAGTATCATTTAAACTCACATGATTATCAGCCATAAGAACAAATTCAGATTTATATTGATGTAAGGTATATAAATGTAAGTACAGTTTGAATCAGTGCAATATTATTTTCACACATCAATGGACCACTGAACTTCTCAGCTTCTAAAATGTAAAGCCTCATTTAGAAACTACACAAGTACATATAATGGTCAGGGATCAACATGAACCTGTCTTCTCTGTTTGACTTTAATCAACTCTGCAGTGGCTCCAGGTCCATAAAGATAAAGTCCATAAAGATAAACTCCAGCATAGAGCGGCTGAGTGAATGTGGTCTGGACTCTGTGGAGGAGAGTCATGGTTTCAGAGACGCTGTAGAAAGACAGAATACCTGCTCTGTGATCCAGGTACACTCCTACTCTGGAGGACCGAGGACCTGAGAGGTGAGTTTGGACATTGTTGTGCAGAAATATATAACTGTTTATGTTACAATATAATGCCCAAGATTTGTTATTGTATCCAAATCCACATTCATCGCCCGTCCCCACTCTGCTGATATTCTTGTATGCGACTGCTACACAAACTCCTCCCCCTCTCCACTCCACCTCCCAGTAACAACGTCCAGTCAGACTCTCTCTACTCAGGACCTGACACTATTAAGTGAATCTGTCTGGATGATGAGAATAAGACTGTTCTTGTTTCATCAATGTTACTTTTCTGTTCCCTTCAGATAATAACAGCCATCTGTTTGCTGTGTTTGGATCCAGTGTGATTTCATGTGAATATTTTAAGAATCCAGCTCTGGTCTTTGGCTCTGCTGGTGACAGTAAAACATCCACTTCAGTGACTGTCAGTGAGATGTTTGTCCATTCTTCTCTCAGGATGTCCTGTAGTTTATCTCTGGTCTCTGACACAGCTGCTGTCACATCCTCAAAGTACCTCAGAGGACGGATATCGATGCTGGATGAGTGTGTAGACTCACTGAGTGCTGACAGTGAGGGGTAGTTGTGTAGAAACTGGTTGTGATCCTCTGTGTGTGAGAGCTGCTCCAGCTCGCCGTCTTTCCTCTTCAGCTCAGCGATCTCCTGCTCCAGCTTCTCCTGAAGCTCTTTGACTCGACTCACTTCAGTTTCCTGCTGGGATCTGACCTGCTGCTTCACATCAGAGCTTCTTTTCTGGAGGAGACGGATCAGCTCAGTGAACATCTTCTCACTGTCCTCCACTGCTTTATCAGCAGAGCCATTGATGGCCTCCACCTCCTGTTGAAGCAGCTTCACATCTTTCTCTCGCTCCTGGATTCTCTGCTGGATGTTTAGTCGTCTCACCTCGAGCTCCTTCTGCTTCTCAGTCCTTTCTGCTGCAGCTGGGACTGTTTCATGGCCTTTATGTTCATCCACTGTGCAGAGATAACAGATATTCTGCTGATCAGTACGACAGAAAATCTTCATCACCTCATCATGACGAGAGCAGATGTTGTCCTGGAGCTTCTTGGAGGGGGTCACCAGCTTGTGTTTCTTTAATGGAGCTGCATCATAGTGAGGTTCAAGGTGTTTCTCACAGTAAGAGGCCAGACAGACTAAACAGGACTTGATGGCTTTCCGCTTCCTCCCAGTGCAGACATCACAGGCCACATCTTCAGGTCCAGCATAGCAGTGATCAGCTGGAGCAGCTTGGAGTCCAGTCTTCTTCAGCTGCTCCACTAAAGCTGCTAACATGGTGTTTTTCTCCAGGACAGGCCTCGGTGTGAAAATCTTCCTACACTGAGGGCAGCTGTGGATTCCCTTCCTGTCCTCTTCATCCCAGAAACCTTTAATACAGTTCCTGCAGTAGCTGTGTCCACAGGCTGTAGTCACCGGATCCTTCAGTAGATCCAAGCAGATGGAACAAGAAATTGTTTCACTCTCCAGCTGAACTCCTTTCTGCGCCATTTCTCCTCTCAGTGTCAGTGACTGTGTGAGTTTCACTTCCTTATAACTGAAACTAGTCTGAGCTCTGATCTCAACAACATGTTTCTGCAGTGAATGGAGCCTGTCAGCTCTTACACGTCACCACATGTTGGTTACACCCATCTTCAAACTGCAGATCTGAGGGGGAGGGAACGAGGAAACACGTGGACAGAGAGGAGGTGCTGTGTTTAAGAGCAGGAAGAAGAGGTTATCAGGCTGTGCTTCACTCCATGAAGAGGAGCAGTTAGAGAGTGAAACTGTGTGTTTAACCCTTTTTTATTTACTGCTTCTTCTATATAAATAATTTTTAAAAATCCAGCTTTAATGAACACTGGACAGAAATGTCTCAGGTAACAATAACCGTCAGAACAGCAGAGGCTGCTGACCTAATCAAAGCATATGTGGAGAGCAGGGTTAGGTTAGCAGACATATGCTGGTTGCTTTTATTTATTTATTTATTGCTTTTATAGGCAGTAATCAATGTTGTAACAGGATGAGAACTAGATAAATGCCACTGCATTGCTTTGAACAGTCAGCAGAGTCTGCACATATAATTACAGATATTCCTGCAAAAAGTTAATTACTCAAAAGAATCTTGCATTTTAGTTTTGCATTTATAACAGCTGCTGCAACAGAAATAACCATGTTCTTTACATTAAAATAGCAACAAACCTTTCTGGAACAACTTTCAAGGTTCATGGCGAAGACAAAGATCTAATGACATGAAGACTCCAGTGAAACTTAAAGTATTAGGAACCAGTTTTAATGCGTGACCAACACATTTCCCCCTGTGGCCTTCACCAGGGTCATTGCTAAATACCGTTGTGATTGTGAAAAGACTACTGGTCAAGTCAAAAAGGAGTGTATGGTAAAATGACCAATGACCATGTGACAAGATCAAGCAAGCATTTTTCTGATGTGTTCACTGCTCAATGGTTTGTTGTCATATTGAACAAAATATTAGGTTCTCTTTGTATATTACACTCAGGCATCAGGAAAGAGTGGTAACTAGTTTATAGTTTTTAGCTAATGACATGTCAATCACAAGACATTGCTCAGAAAACGTGCAGATTCTCAGCTAGATCCACCTTCCACTCTTTACTTACAGTTTCACAACAGCAAACAAACACACAAATAAGTTGAAGTAATTGTTTCCTGTATGACTTCACTGGTCTCGCATCAGTAAGGACTTTTGCTCCTTGTTGCTTGAGTTCATTGAGGTGGTGAGCATACATTTATCCCCAGACATGTCCATGTACACAAACATTAAACAACTTCTTTCTGACTTGTTTCACACTTTTGCACCACTTCAGAGGAATCCCCTTAACCTCAAATCACTGTTTTCTTAAGGTATGACTTACCTTCACAGCTGTGTGGATTACGCATCATGTCACAGAAGGTCCACAAGCATAGATGCACGTGTGTGTTCATGTCTGTAAGCTATTATTGTTTCATCTCACTGAAAGCACAAATGCCATCCTCTCTCTCTCTATTTTTATATGAGGATGGGGTGGACAAAATAACAGGAACACTGTTAAAAATACGCAGTTCTTTGAATCTTTGGGCTGAAGGAGGGACAATACTCGGTGTATAAATGCTCAATCAACAATCATTTATTTCCATACAATTCAACAATAAGAGCATTACAACGTCCGGACGGGAGAGATGCCTGCAGAGGTTCGACAGCATGTCTCAAAATGGTGACGGGTTGCTCAGCTTTTTATAGTCTCTAGTGGCCCCCAGCTAGTCGTGAAAGCCAAAACATCACATTTTTCTCTGTTACAGCGCCTAAGTTATGACCTCGGCAGTTGTTTCTCTGCTTTCTGTAAGGTGGGGGTGTGGAATGTGGTCTGTCTATCTCCCCTGTCTTTAGACACAGAGTCTCCTGCTTACAACCTTCTCTTCATGATTCAACAATTAAGCATGTCAAGAAAACAGTGTAACACATTCCCAGCAGATCAAGGATACAGAGTGATGCACATTTATCTAATGGACTAATATGTGAATATGTTCTGTTAACAGAATAATTTAATAATTCCCCCTTTTGATCTCTGAAAGAGATCACTTACAACATGCACTCCAGGGTTGCAAGGTCCAGGTTTTCTTGATCCTGAGGCCCTCTGTCCCCCTTTAACGGGTGGACCATATGTGGGATGACCTCTGTGTTCACGCAGTTCAGATGCAAGCAAAGTTAGATTTACAACCATAACAGCAGTTACAGATGACACTCCCATCACTCCCCATTTTCCCACAGCTTTATTTTGGTGCTCCAGTTTTCCACTCCCATTTTAATGCCCCCTTATACCTTTCAAATGTACTTAGACTAGAACCTCTGTCTAAGGAGCTTTTAACCTTTATTTTTATTGCTGCAGCTACCAGTGTCTTCCAGTTGGGTGATTCTCAGCTTCTTTCTTCGACCTCCGGGGTTAGACCACCCTTTAGTCATTGCACAGTTCTGGGGATTATTCTGCCTCGATTTCAAACAAGGATCTGTGTGTTTTGGGTTCACCGGCGTGTCCCCCTTTCTGCCAAGCGCCTCTCGAACCTCGTTGGTCTGGTGTTCCTGGTTTTCCGCCAACCCCTTCATGGTTATTGCTGTGTCTATGGGATCCATCCTTTTGTGGTGACTAGCTGGAGCCCAAACGCCATGACCCTTGGACCCAGTTGATGTCTCGGCAGTCACTGTGTCTGACTCTGCTACGGAGGATCCTCGCATCTCTGTGACCTCGTCTGGTGTCTGTTCCTTTCTCTGTAAGAGACAGAAAACCAAAGCACCTCTCTTCCTAACCCTAATAATCTAATGTTCTTATCTACTGACCTTCTAGTGATTCAGAATTGGTCTAAAACATTCAGAATGTCTGCATTTAGCCCTCTGCACTCAAGGCATTTCCTACACTTTATCAGTCCGGACAGTCACGCCGAACGAAGCTTCTGACCTTCAAAAGGCCGAGTGCCAACTCGTTATAAGCACATTTGCAAGGTGTGTCTGAAAATTATTGAAACCCCTCTTTTTAACAAAAGACAAAAAATTAACAAATCTTCTAAACGCTATTCAGTTCATTTCAATGAGTAATGATTAAACATGAAAGTGATAGTTTATGCTTTTTCACTGATTCTCTAAAAGGTCCGTCTTCTCGGACCGCTATTAGCTTAAGCTTTACCATTCCTAAATTATTAAAGACACCAATGAAGTTATAAAATGTTCAAATAATCCTTGTTTGATGTTAAAGCTCAACCTTCCCCCCCTTTTTTGACACATTCCAATGTGTCAAATCAACGGAGCTAGAACATTCAAAAAAGTTAGGCAGCTACAAAGTTTCCCAGACTCTTAAGGTGATCCGCGTGTAACGTTCTGACTCAGGTATTTAATATTTTAATAAATCTCGTTTAATTAACTGCCACTATTTAAACTAACCTTAAAGACATAATTTAAGAAAAGATCACAAAGAATAACATGATATCAGTGTTTTGTAAGCGCGTGCGGCCTTCTATGCTCGAAGCCTTTTCCCTCAATAGATCAGTCAGACATTCGCGCTGACTGTAGCTTTTAACCCTTATTAACTTGAGCACAACTCTACAATGAGCAACAAGTTGCAATATGTATAAAAACGATCATGGTTACACCTGCAATGAAAACCATCACTGGCGTCTGACAGGGTGGTGCTGCATACTCTTCCTTTAATGTCACTATTTTCACCCTGTTAATTAGAGTGTTTAGACCTGAAGTCGACTACGTCCACAACAAGTCAATACAGCTGTAAATGTGGCCAATTATCAATCTATTACCAATCAATAACAACAGATAACTTCTATTTTATGCATACTTTTAATCAACCACTCACCCAGAGGATCTCCAATCCCAGCAAGTTCCTTCTCCTCCTTTAATGAGTCTGTCCTCCTTCCATGCCCTGGTAACTGGTCCATCCAGAGCCATATGATCTCAAATATACATACGACAAGCCAAACCACACCTTGGTCACACCAACCCCTTTCCACCCCCAAGATGTCCAATGCCATCCTAGTATGGACTGTCAAATGTGGCTTTAACGCTGACTGTTCTGACAATCCATTTTATAACGTTCCTGGTCAGATTTGCCAATCTCTGCACCAGAGTTTTAAACGTTTCGCCATTTTCATTAGGTTTTATCTTTTATTTAGTTTCGACTCCAGATTTTCAATTTTTTTGCCAGTTGTAATTAGTTTTTACCAATTCTTTGCTAGTTTAGTCTAGTTTTTATTTTCTGAAAATCCTTAGTTTCAATTTAGTTCTATTTGTGTTTTGCAAAAGTTAAGTGTAACAAAATCTCCGTTCCATCATATCAGTCATGCTCTTCTAATTATCCTTGGGTGTTGAGACTAATAACTATTAACTCTTGCCGCACCGAGTGTACCTAATTTTGGTTAAAGTTAATTGATAACCTTTTGAAGGCGATTGTTTCACACCTTTATTTAGATGTCCCAGTCCTGTTATCTCGGGATCCATCACGCTGCCTTATCTGGGGTTAGCTGTTTTCTGGGGATGCGGGTTGAGTGGGCGAGCTCTTCAAGGAGGGGGAGTGTGCTCCCCTGATGAGGTCTTCTAGGTAAGCTAGGTTAACCTTCTTGTGTGAGCTTTTCAAGTGCACTTTAAGGTTAGTGGGACTTTTAGTTTTATAAATGTCCCTCATGTCCCCCTGATGACCCAGTATTTCATTTTTGCACACTGTAGTACACATTTTAGTTTTTGCTTGTAGCTCGCATACTCTACTTGCCACTCCTCTAATCCCTGATGTTTCTTAGAGAGGGCAACAGTACCTTTAAAATTATATCACATGTGTGGGGTGTGGCCTTGCCAATTGTTTTGCCCACCTTTTCAAAATGGCTGGCGTGCCCACAAGCACATTTCATGGAAAAAGAAAGGTAAGCTTGATATTTACATTTAAAATGTTTTGTTAAACTCAGATTTTTATTTTATTCTTTTTGCAAGTACCCCTCCTCGGTGGCGAGAAACTGTTGGTGTGGTCAAGTGGGTGCTCTAGAAACAAACGCTCAGGACAGAACAGTTATCAGTCATGTACTTCCTACAAATTTTGCATATGTTTTATTTCATATTGATCCTCTGAGTGTA